ATAATTTAAAAAATTTTACAAAATTACTAATTTTTTCTTTCATTAGTTTTTAATTGTTAGAAATAATTAATTAAATTTGTTAGGTAAACTTAATAATTAAAAAAATTCATTAATAATTCTTTAATTAATTAAAAATACAATTTAAAAAATTCACCAAGAATTCTTGAATTATTAATTAAATTATAAAATTAATAATTTTTCTTTCATTAATTTTTAATTGTTAGAAAATAATTAATTAAATTTAATTATTAATTATTAATATTTTAGCAAGGGATTGCATTAGATTTGGTAGTAAATACAAAGATGGCGAACAATTTGCAATAAATCATTTGCGTTATGAATGTAAAGATGGAACGGTTAATATTCTTGGTAGAATTTCATTAATTTTCTTTAATGAAAAGATAATAACTTTCTTTTTTAAACTTTGAAATTAATTAAGCTTGTTCAATTGTTTTAAATTCGGAAAAGGGAAACTTCCATAATTTGCAAAAAATTTATATTCCTATTTTAAAATTTCATTCAAAATTTAATTCTAAATTTAGGTTGCTATATGAATGAAATTGGACAAAATCTTGAAATTGGCCGTAGCATTGTTGATAAGCTTACGATATATAAATGTTTAAGGTAAGTTTTACTAAGATAAATTTTATAAAATTTAAATAATTTTTGAATATTAAATTAAATTTAGTGAAAAAGGATCAACATGGATGATAATATCTTAATTAATATTTTAATTAATAATAGTTAATAAAAGTAAAAGAATGATTAACTTGTCAAAATGAGTTATTTATTACGATCATTTATTTATCAAATGACATTGATATGATATCATTATCATATTATTATTCACTAATTTAATATAATTTTTTTCCCACAATTAATTATAATTAATTAAAGTTTAAAATATTTTATTTTGTAGTGAAAATGGTGAAGTGAGATATGAAGAATATCCTTGTGGACTTCAAGGTATGCCACCGTGTGAAGTTCCGAAGCAACAAAAACAACAAACACCAATTAAAGTGCCAACAGTGCGTAAACCTATTCCAGGCTCTGGAACATTTAATATTATGCAGGTAGGATAATTACAATTAACCTGACAATTCAAAAAACTATCCTACCTGACAAGATAAGAAAAGAAAATTCAATTTAAAAAAAATACTAATTATTATCGAATAATTATTATCGAACTAATTGTCACTTTTAAGTAGAAATATTTTATTGAAAGAAATAAGTATTTTTAAAATTGTGTGTAGCATATGATAATTCAAGGTAAACGATGCAAACAATAATTATTATTGTAAACATAACGATTTTTTTAATTATTAAATAATGTAAATAATGATTACTATGCAAATAACAATTATTGTTATTATATTGTCACTTCAAGTTAATTAATTATAATTTTATTTTTAAAATTGTATAGCATATGATAATTAAGGTAAACGATGCAAACAATAACTATTATTGTAAATATAACGATTTTTTAATTACTAAATAATGCAAACAATGATTAGTATGCAAATAACAATTATTGTTATTATATTGTCATTTCAAATTAATTAATTATAATTTGTATGAAATTTTTAAAATAAAGAAAAATCATTTTTTATAGAATTTAAATAAATGAAATTTGAAATTCATATAAATCTTATATTTTCTTATACTGAAAAGAAAAAAAATATTTAGCTAATGATAAATTTCTTATCATTTTTCTTATCATTTCTTATCTGTCATTTTAATTTCTTATCATTTTTCCACGACAGTTTTCCTTCTTTTTTTTTTTTTTTGTTTTAATTTTGCTTATTTAACGAAAATAATTTGTATTGTTTTATCGTTTTTTTCTTTAAGTTAGTTTTCAGTATGTTAATCGTAATAGTGATAAGATAGTGAGATCGATACGAATACAATGATAAGGTAGTGAGATCATCGATACGATCATCGATATGAAATTGGAATTGTTGAAATTGAATGAATTATATACTTCCGTGCATCAATTTAGTCAATCTTTAATGTAACAATATCCTATCTATCTAAATGTTTATGATATGCTTGCAAATTATAAAAATCATTAAAGAAATTTGGCTTAATTTTATTTACAAAAAATAAAACTTTATTTTTTAATATTAATTAAACAGAAAAAAAACACTTATGAAATTACTGATAACAAATCTTTTATCATTGCAAATAAACAAATAAGCAATTTATCACACAAAGAGTGTGATAAACAAATAATTTACGATGAAGATAGCAATAAGGAAAAAATTAAAACTATCACTTGCAAATGAAATTTTATGGCTCCAGCAAGTGCTGGGCCTTTCCAAGATAAACCGGGAAAAAGTTTTATAGGCATACAACTATTATTTATAGGAATAAATCCTAATTTACACACACAACTATAGGAACCTTTTAAGTTAGCGCATTCCCAATTGTCTGAAAAAATTATTCCAATAATATAATTAATTGACAACAATTAGTTTTAAACTAATAATTTGTTCATGAAATGATTAATATTTCCGTTAAAACAAAAGAATAATAAATTGGAGAAACTTACCACCGTGCATTTGTTCGCAATTAACATATAAGCATTCATTAATATCCACACATTTGTTCACATCAAATCTATGATTAAATAATTAAAATAATTTTACAAATAATTAGCGATAATTAATGTCTCAAATACTTCGGGACAAAATTACCGAAATTAATTTTAATTTTTGTGTAATTTTTAAATAACAACTAATAAGGCCTAATTCAACAAATGATGTAAACAAATGAATTAAGTAAAATAATGTCATTATATTTTGGATAAAGAAATGAGAAGAAATATTAATTGATTTCATTTGTTTACCGAAATATATATCCCGGTTTAGGACAATCACATGATACATTCCATAAATTCCGATACATTCCAATAAGATCTTCATTGTAACTTGATTTCAATACACAAGTACCATTCCCTGGACATGGTGATGGATTGCAACTATTCACACAAAAACTGTAAACTATTACTTAAATTCAAAAGTATTGAGTTTATGAATTTTGCAGCAATAACAGCTAAATAATCCAAATAAAACAATAAGCAATGATAGTGATAAAAATTATGATTTTACCTTGATTTTGCGCATCGAAATGGTTCCACATCAAACGCCCCTAATGTTATATGCATTGTTTTATTGAATGTTAAATTTCTGGCCACTATTCCATTAGGCCACTATAATTATAACTTTTTAAAATAAAAACAATGCGCCAATTATTAAAGTTTCAATTTAAATATTTTAATAAATTCTAAAACTTTAAACTTGCAATATATTCTTCTTTCTCTTGCATTCGTTCTATTTTCGTAACTTCTTCCTACAAGCAAAATAATTTATTTCGAAAATAAATTATGCAAAATTTAACAAAGGAATTTTAGAGTACCATAAATAGCATAGAAATATAAATGTAGTGATCAAAATAAACTACAAAATAAATTACAGATGTTAATGTGTTGTAATTCAACCTTTTTTATCACTGCATTTTATCACTTTTATCATTGTTAAATGCTTCAATGAATAATCATTGAAGTTATCGAATAATTTAATTATTTCCTTATTTTTACTTTTTAGGTTTCAAAGTTTTAAAATATCATTTATCATCAAAGATAATTAAAAATTTTTGATAAAACTTTTTTGAAAATTGCTAACAGTAGATGTGGAAATTGGTTGAATATTGCAATACGGTAATTTTTCCATGATACTAATGCTATTCATTGTCATCCAACACAACAAATAAATAGCCGAAAAATCATAATCAAACATTTCATGATGAACTAATCGACGAACTTCACTCTTCCTTAATTATAATACTATTTAATCATAATTATAATAATATTTAAATTGATGATTAATGGATAATTTAAAAATGATAGAAAAAGAATATTATATGCTAACTATGTTTGACTAAATTAATTTCGATTTTTCTTGATGAAGAAAAATACAATAAACAGTAAGTTACCTTATGATAAATTCATCATAAATATCGGATGTAAAAAGAAATACATTACGTTTTTTAATATCACTCCAAATAGTATCAATACATAACTGAAATTCATTGTTTTATTTTTACATTTCTAATTAATTTTAATTACTTCAAATAAGTCAAATAATATAATTTAGTTTTATACATCAGATTTCAAAATTTCTGGCATAATTTTTTGCATTTTTCAATTGCAGTTCTAAATTATTTACAGTTGAAATTTCATTTAATATTCTATTTCAGTTTATTATAATTTTTTGTTTCATTTGATTATTAAAACAATTCCATATGATAAGCTAACAATCATAATTGAGCTTATCACCGATATCATAAAAGAACAAATTAAAAGTGAAGAATATTTGAAAAAAAATGAACAAAATATTAATCATCAAATTATGATTCATTTCATCGAATGAAACAATTGCTATATTTTAATGACTAAACTTTTATCAATTTAAAAATTTTGCTCTTCACGTAATTTATAAATTGTGCCGATCACTTAATAGTTATAGTTAGTTTATAAATTGTATGGAAATTTCAAAATGTATTTAAATAATAAGTTGTCCTAATTTTTCAACAAATGTAGTTTATATAAAATTAGCCTAGATATTTCATAATAATATTAGAAGTAAACAATAAATAAAACATTACAATTATTCGTGATACATCTCTCAATTACTTTATTTAAAAATACATCACTCTAAGAGTCAATTACTTTATTTAAGAATCAAAATTAACTACTAACCTTAAATCCCTTAATGCACACTTCATAAAGATCATTGGAGAAATTAATTTGTGGAAAAGCATATATAAAATTACTATGAGTTGTAGATGGTTGTTCAATCCACATTCGATAAATTCGAGAATAAAATGCAAGCTGACCAATAATATTCATGTAATAAAGACGAACATATCTATCCATCGATTTTACTTCACTTAAATATTATTAAGGAATTAAAATTAAATAAATTACTGATCGATGAAAATATGTAATAAATCATTTGAAATAGTTCCTTGGTTCATACCTTGCAATAATAATTCATACCTTGCATACTTTTTAACTAATGATTGATTAAAATCGGCTAAAAAATCCTTCTCTTCGCTTTGTTGCGCTTTACTAATGGATGCAAAATAATCCAACGTTAACAATAAAATAAATGACAGTTTAGGATTGAAACAACCGTTTCCCATCTGCCCACTTCACTTCACTTATTTATTATTTCTGTTTTCATTAACAAAAACAATCAAAAAAGGAAAATGAAAAATATGCATTAACTAATGAACATTAATCCTTTGTCTTTACATTCATTTTTATTTGAAATTTTTATTTAAAAAATAAATCGATAAGATCGATCTCTTCTTTAATACTTCTAAGTTCTTTATATCCGATATACCATTACAGATATACCAGTACTATCCTTAATATCTACGAAACCTCAGGATAAGACATTTAATGAGGAATAAAAATTAATTAAATAAGCTTTTAGTACTCGATGAATTCATTTGTATGACAATATTTCTGTCGTTGGCCTACAAATGATAACAGTGTAATGGGGGAGCATTTGTAACTTATCAGTGGTATTCGACAAGAGTATGAATTTTTCTATCAAATAGTAATGTTTTTTTCTTCGATATTAGTTGAAGCATTTTATCAGCGATGATAATTAAATGTTAGTGTTAAGGATAGAGAGATCTTTTCATTGAAAGCTTTGCTGTAATTGTGGACACTTTGTTGACAAGTCAAAAAGTAAAAAAACAATAACAGTAAATAAATAATTGCTCCAATAGAGAGAAATACATATGAATTGAAGTATATTAAGATATAAAGAAAATATCAATAGAATAAGTAAACAAACAAATAATTAAATTATTCATATTTTTATAAAGCTCAATTTAAAATTTGAGGGAATCAATATTTTTCAAAATAAAAAATATTTTGATAAAGATAATATGATAACGGCATTTCGCGGAAAATTTTCAAGAGACTAACTTACAGATCGCTCTCCGACCTTTCTTAGACATACAATCTCTCTCTCTCTCTCTAACATTGCCAACAATGTTACCATTTAAAATATATCACAATTAATTACTAATTAAGTATAAATTTTTTATTACTTCGAATTTACATATTTCATCAATGCTAATTTTTTATTGTATATCGCGGTTTTTGAAAATTGCTTCACTATTTTAACTTTATAAGAAGGAATTTTATGAGCAGTTACTAATTATTTGTACATAAAATCTTTTGACTGCTATAATAGTCCGAAAATGCTTACTGTCCTCTTTTCAATCAAATGTTTTCATAAATCTATTCAGCTAATTTATTAATTACTGAAAATTACTGAATTATTGAATGAAAAAAGTTAGTGCTATCAATAATAATACTAATATTTCTGCATTTTGTAGACAAATAATTTGATATGATAAAGCTAATTACAATTGTCATATCACATAGCAATCTGTTGACAACATTTTGATAGGTTGTCTGATAGCTGGAAGATCAATGAAAAAAATTAGAAATTTGAAAATAACAGACACTAAAATGTACTCGAAATTTTATGTTCCGTTTTTTTGAATCATTAATTATATTACGATTATCATAAAAATATATTACCTTCAATGCTTACAATTTAATATTGATTTAACTTTTACTATTTCGAATATTTGATTAATCAATACTATATCATATAATTAACAAATGCATTCATCACCGAATAATCAATTACTCTTAGTTAAATTGGGTTTTCCCTTCTTTTTGGAGAAAGCTCTGACAAATTTCAGAGATATTCATCAATTCAATAAATACAACAACTACATTTTTATTGCTTTTGAATATTAAATTTTTGAATGAATTTATAATATGAAGCATTGTCATATTAATCTACCTGTAATAATCACTTCCAAAACGATAATGCAATTTTATTTCGATAAACACATAATCCAAAGAACACTAATACTACAACAATGCAGATATCATGAATGAATTGGTTTAAAATGCTCAATATAGAAGTAGAGCTATCATTTAAGAAGCAATTCAAGTAAAACTTTTTCTTTCTGATATCTTGCTGTGAAGAAATTCTTCAAAATTAGGGAATCCAATTTCATTTGTAATTAATATAATTGTTTTTATTTCATCACTAATATTTTGTCTGACTTCCAATTAACGACAGAGTTATTATTCTACAATATAATTTAGGCGCGCTCGCTAACAGTTTTCTCAGTTTCTATTTTGTATACAACTCAAATCAATAAATCAATTTCTAATTCCTCAAAACATCTTGATCTTATTGACTATTTGCTGATTGATCATTTCTTTGAATTACTTCCTATGAACTTACTGATACTTACAGTATCAAGTACCATCAAATTCTTATGTTGTTACTCCCTGCAGTTGAAAGAAGAACTGAAGACATTTTTATAATTCGGTAGAGTAGCATCGCCAGCCGAAATCCGATGAGTTGATTTCAATGAATAATGAATCTAATAAAAATGAGCAAATAAAATCTTTTCCGATCGCATATACAACAAAATGGCACAGAGGTGTTATTCAATTTGAATGTTCTTCCGAGAACTCCCTCTTGGGATCTACGATAAACAGAAGCTCAAACTCTGATAATACTATACATATATTGTGTTGAATACGAAATGTTCGCACATTTTTGTCCTTTGATCTTTTTAATTTAATTCAGACGGAAAGATGAGAGATGCTCTAATCAATTCAGCAATTATCTTTTGCTGTCTTCAAGCAACTTCGATATTTGCTGAGCATCAAATTGAATTACATCCCGTTTATAGCCAATCAAATGTACGTTAATTAATTACTCCAAGTTTAACCGCTCTATCATTTTCTGTCAACAAGGATGAAAATTAATTGAGGTAAATTTCATTGTTCACATGTTTGATAATACCTTTTAGCAACATACCGGATATGCTGCAAAGATGTTGATCGGTGAATCGAAAAAAGAGTTCTCTCTACTTTTGGATATTGCTACCGCAATTATTTGGATTTATCCTTCTAAATATACGTATGTTTTAGCTTTGCTGCTTTTTTTCATCATTCATACATCTAAAAATGCGGAAAA